AGACAGATCGTGAGTAGCTGTTGAATACTGTGTGGCTCCGAGTCCATTCGGAGAGTTTACCGCAGTAAAGCAACAGCTAAGTGTCAGTATAAGCGTGCGTAATTGTAGAATAATTTGTAAACTTAGTAGTAATAAACTACGCCAGTTTTTTATAAAAGAATATTATTCATCACCAAGTCCTTTATCTTCCCGAATCTCAACAAAGTAGAGAAGGTCGCTCGGAGACAGGTTGCCTCTGAACGACAAATTACGGAAGCCATCCTCCAAATCAGTGAGGATGTTGATGAGGTTAGTGTTTCTACCCTCGCTGACCTGAAGGAAATTAAGAAGGGTGTTGTGGAGGCGCGTGCGGCGATTGAGGAGGTCCATAATGAGGCTTCCCGGTCGCTTCACGCGCTTCACGAGAGCATGGAGACTTCGGTGCGTGCCATCGCTGACGTCTCCATGCCGAGGCCGGAAGGAGCTACATGCTCCACTCCAGTCAGGGGGGGGGAGTCAGATTCCTCCCTTGTGGCTGGAGGAGATTGAGAGAGTGGTGCGGTGCACCGTCTCGGGGGAGCTCCAAAAACTTTTGGAGCGGGGGCTCCCGAGACGGCCCCCCTCTGTTAGTAGGACTCCTATTTCACCGCCTGTTCCTGTTAGGGCACAGGCGGAGGAAAAGGAGAAAAAGAAGAAGAAAAAGAGAAAGAGGAAGAAGAAGAAGAAAAAAGAGAAGGCGGTAAGGACAACCAAGGCGCCTACAAATGGTGGGGGGACGACCGCTTGTGCCGGTCGAGGAGAGCCTTCTCCTCCTTTGACCCCGCCCTCGTCAAGCCAGCGGCCGCCTCGCGGGATACTCCCGCGTACTGAGGCGGTCACCTTGCGTCTCGAGGGGGAGGGCATGTCGTATGCCCAAGTCCTTCGAGACGCGAGGAATAAGGTGGACCCTAGGTCGGCGGGCGTCTCCAGAATCCGTCAGACCCTGGAGGGGCATTTGTTGTTGGAGGTGGGAGGGGAGGACCGCAAATCCAAGGCGGACCTCCTCGCCACCAAGTTAAAAGAGGCTCTCCCTGAAGGAGTCAGTGTGGCTCGTCCGTCCCGAAACGTGGAGATATTAGTTTCGGGATTGGACGAGTTCACCACGGAGGACAACCTCCGCAGAGATTTTGCGACAGAGTTTGGTGGCGGGAATGGCGTTAGGGTAGTATCCCTGCGTCGCTCCCAGCCCGTGGGTGGAGTCGCCTTGGTCCGCTGCCCAGCTGAGGTAGCGGCCAAGGCGATTAAAGCAGAAAGATTGCCGGTGGGCTGGGTGATGGTGAGGGTGCGAGCACTCCGCCCCCGCCCCTTGCAGTGTTACAGGTGTTTCCAGCCTGGGCACTGCAGGGCTGTGTGCCCCAGCGAGGTCGACCGCAGTGATCTTTGCTATCGCTGTGATCGGCCGGGGCACAGAGCGGCCGGCTGTACAGAGGATGAGGGGTGTCCCCTCTGTGAGGAGTCGGGCCGGGAGTCCTCCCACCGAATGGGCGGCGCCCGGTGCTCGGCCATCGGCCGGGGGGCTCCCGTGCCTGTTAACAAACCCTGACGAGGGTAAGGAGGATGCGGTTCTCCCTGGCTCCGACATAAGGATCCGGGGAGCCGCTCCTCCGTATATCTGATGCGTTAAGCACCAGATATAATAGAGGGTAGCGCCTGGTCTCTTTTTGAGTCCAGGCGGTGTTAGATGGAGGCCCGGTCCCCGTTGTTTGGAGCTCTGGGCTCACCTCAGCGGTTACTGGGCGTAGTGTGGAGGGAGGACCTTCCTCTTGTCTCGTGATCTTTGAGACAAGAGGGAGGTCAGTATCAAGGGGTCAAGTCCGCTCCGGCGTTTGACTTGGGGCCGAGAGGGGTTTCTCCCTCATTGCACTCGGCCTGCAGATGGCGGAGGAGGGGTTGTGTCCCCCCTCCTCCGATCGTGGAGGAGCCTCACTCCTCCACCTAAAGGTTAGGGGGGCGTAAGTCCCCATGCCTGCAGGGCTGCCTCTGGGTTGTGCGAAAATCGGTACCGGGGCAGCCCTATATGGGCTGAAGGTGGACACCGCAGGGGTTTTAGTGGGTATTTCCCATCAGGGTGCGCTCTGGTGGGGTGAGTCCCACACTACCCTGGCCCACACCTAGTCTGGGTCAGAGTGTGCGTAAATGCATTTCCCCTGCGTAAATAAAAAAAAAAAAAAAAAAAAAGGTAGAGAAGGAACCCAGCCGGTTAAGGCAAAATAGAGAAGAAACCCAGCCGGTTAAGGCAAAGTAGAGAAGGAACCTAGTCGGTTAAGACAAGGTAGAGAAGGAACCCAGCCGGTTAAGGCAAGGTAGAGAAAGAAACCAGCCGGTTAAGGCAAGGTAGGGAAAGAATTCCCTGCGCGCCTTCGGGGTCGTCAGGCAAGAAGGAAAGGGGTGGGTCATAAAGAAACTGGACTCACAACTCCTGTCCGGTGCTGTCCAAATCGCGGCCTGGCCGGAACCACCGACAGGGCCGCGGGACCTCCGAGAAGAACTTTGGTGGTTTCGGGAAACGCTAGTTAGCATTTGCGACACTGCGATACCGCGTTTCCGGGGCCCGCCGAGTCAGAGGTCGGTGTATTGATGGTCGGAAGAGATAGCGCAGCTTCGGCGCGAGTGCGTCGAGGCCAACCATCGATGCACCCACGCCCGCCGTCGTCTTCCTGGCGACGACGAGGCGGGGCGGGCAGCGGTGATGGCGCAGGAGGGGTTACGCGCAGCGCGCAAGGCCCTCCGAGCCGCCATCACCAAGACAGAGTTCCAAGCGTAGACGGAGCTCATTGAGACGTTGGATTTTGATCCGTGGGGCCGTCCTTATCGGCTGGTCACCAAGAAACTCCGGCCGTGGACGCCCCCGGCTACGGAGAGCCTAAACCCTCAGCTCCTGGAGAGGGTCCTGTCAACTCTCTTCTTCGTGGGAAGGGAAGAGTGGCCTTCCCGGGAGCCCGAGACGGACCACCCTGTTCCGTGGTCCGCCGAACTGGGGGTCTCTGAAGATAAGCTCCGCCGGGCCGTCCGTCGGATGGCGCGCAAAAACACCGCGCCAGGCCCCGACGGCGTGCCCGGAAAAGTCTTGGGATTTGCCTTTGGGCAGGGTCCCCTGGGTGAGCGCCTCAGGCAGATTTTTACAGACTGCCTGAGGACAGGCTGGTTCCCCCCAGATTGGAAGGCGGCCAACCTCATGCTCCTCCGCAAGGATGGCAGACCCGCGGACTCACCGTCCGCGTACCGGCCGATCTGTTTGCTCGATGAGGCGGACAAGCTCTTAGAACGCGTAATTGCCGCACGCCTCATTGAGCTCCTGTCGCGGGTAGGTCCCGACCTGGCCGACTGCCAGTTTGGTTTCCGTGAGGGACAATCGACAGTCGATGCTGTCTTTCGACTCAAATCCCTCACGGATTCGTTGGTCGGGCAGGGGGGGGAAGGCGTTGGCGGTGTTCTTGGACATCTCCAACGCCTTTATCTCCCTCCTCTGGGATAGTACAGGGTGGGCCCTAGACCGTCACGGAGCCCCACCCTATCTCAGTAGGATCCTCGGTAACTACTTCCGCGGCAGGAAGATCGAGTATACAGGCCGGTATGGATCACCACTCAGCAGGGATATGTACCGCGGGGTTCCGCAGGAGTCTGTCTTAGGCCCCCTGCTGTGGAACCTCGGGTACAACGTGGTAATCCAGGCCGCTCTGCCCCGGGGGCTGGATGTTATCTGCTACGCAGATGACATTCTCGTCGTGGCCTCTGGGGCGGATTGGGAGGAGACGCGGGTATTCAAAGTGGCTGTCCACAAGACGGAGGCCATATGGTTCCATGGCCCCTGTCGTGGACGGCTCAGAGACGCCAGCCTCCAGGTAGGTGAGGCCCGGGTCGAGGTGGGTACTACGGTCAAGTACCTTGGTCTGCACCTCGACCCAGGATGGCGCTACGGCGAGCACTTTGCTCGTCTAGCTCCCCGGGTTTGCAGGGTGGCAAATAGCCCATCCAGGCTATTGCCGAACCTCGGGGGACTGCGGCAGATGGCTCGCCGTCTGTATGTCAACATGGTCCACGCGGTGGCGCTATACGGAGCGCCACTCTGGGCGGAGGTCGCAGCGGGGGCGGGGGCGCGGAGCAAGTTTGCTCCACTTTGCGCCGCCCAGCGAGTGGTTGCCCTCCGCACAATACGCGGCTACCGCACCGTGGCCACAGAGACGGTGGGTGTGTTGGCGGGAGTTCTCTTTCTTGCCCTCCTGGCAAAGATGTACTCGGCGAGATATTTTCGCCGGGTCGAATTGCTACAAGAGAGCGCTGCACTGAACGTCGTGCGGGGGGCCCTCGCTGACGCTGAGCGCCAGGCCCGACGACAGCTGCTCCTTGACTGGAACCGCGCGCGGCCGTCCAAGAAGTCGTTGCAATGGTCCGACCCCATTTGGAGGTATGGTTACAAAACGGGGTCGGCCACCTCACCTATAGGGTGACTCAGGTGCTCACCGGGCACGGATACATCGGGGAATACCTGAGTCGCATTAGAAAAGACCCGACGGCACAGTTCCACCAATGCGGCGCGGCCAGTGACTCGACGGACCACACCGTGGAAGAGTGTCCGCGGTGGGAGAAAGACCGCCGAGTCTTGGTCGGTAAGGTAGGGCCAGACTTGTCCTTGAGGGGACTGATGCGCGCATTGGCCTCCGGGGACAAAGATTGGCGAGACGCAGTCATCTCCTTCTGCTCCATTGTCATCGTCAAAAATATGGGGTTCTATTTAAAAAACACGACTTGACCTTGAAATGACCTTGAAGGTCAAGGTCAAATCCAAGGTCACGTGGTAATAGGGAAAAGTCCTACAATTTTTGTCTGAAATGTTTTTCTGTTCGACACTTAGTTTTCGAGATATTTTGCTGTACCGGGACTTTTTGAACATCCTGTATATATTTTTTTAATATTACATATGTACGTGAAATAAATAAAATTACAATAAGTGTATATTAATATATTTAATATCTTATAAAAAATATATATTAATACATTTAATATCTTATAAAGGTGCGAAAAATAACATTAATAATTTTGTCTCAAAATAAAAGCGTTCCCAAAAAGTTACTGCAACAGAATATAAATTATTTATTAATTATTAATTATTTATTACTAACAGTTACATACATATAAGTTTGCCTC